CAAAACCCTGATTCGGCTCAAAATTATGGAATTTGAGTTGTAGGCATTTTTTGCTTCCCCAGCCTCTCCTACAACTATTTCATCGCATAAGAACCCCCCAAAACCGCATTTTTCCCCATACCGGGCATGTTCATCACCACCTTTTCCTCATAAAGTAAAGTCAATATTTTATTTTTCTTTACCGGCCGTTTTCTCAAAACGCGACTTTTCTCTATACTTTTTTGAATAACTCCACCATTTTTCATCCAATCTTCATGACATTATCACAGAATTAAGAGATGTAATACTAAAACTTAAGTTGTTGAATTTTTAAAATTTGGAATAGCTTTTTATTGGTGGTGTCTTGAGTGTGAATTTTCACGGATTTTTGGCAAACTTGGACGGTACCTCAGAAAAAAATTCATAAATAAAAAAAAAAATTCGTTTAGGAAAAAAAGCAACATACACATTTTTAGTTTTAGATTTAATGTTTGCTAACACGCATACCAAAAAAAATATTAATTTCCTTGTGCAGTAAGTACGGTATTCATTACGTAAGACAGGTCAACAAAATCCAATATGGCCGCCGTATCCATGGAAACGAAGCCTTTTTCTCAAATTTGATTGCGGTTTTTAAGACTCCTTACTATGCTTGTTATATATGTGAAAGTTGGTAAAATTCGGTGCAGTAAAAAGCGAGATAGCCTTCAGGTGTAACCCTTAATAAATTCATACAAAATACAATAAATCTCCGTCCCGCTTCTCACGTACACATTAAGCATACAATATGACCTACATCACAGCTCACCAATGGCACTTCTTGGTGGCCACACTTTATACAATAAATTGACTTAATAGTAAACACTTTTTTACCCTAAAGGTTCTCAAAACATGTGTTCAATAAGCGTAATATCGCGATAAGAAAAACAAAAACAAAAACCCAAGCAAACAAACCATGATGGACTTGTTTTTAAAAGCGACATTTCCCCATCTGTAAACCTTTTAAAATCTGTAGAAACCACTCATTTGGACTTTTAAAATTAGTAGTTAAATTTATTAATAAATTTTCTAAAATACAGCTAACAGATGTATACAAAAATATTGATCTGTTAAGATAAATTGATACAGAAGTCGGTGGAGAAAAGCTGATAGTTTAGGAAATATTTGACAAGAAGTTGCGAAACCAATTTTTGACCGCGCTATAGTCACATTATATCACGCGATGACGACAAAGGCAAACTTGTAACCAGAAAGATTATTCGGGAATTTAAAAAAAAAATCTCTTGAGTGCAGGTGTATTTTACACCCCCAACGACACAATTTAGATAATTTAGAAGGCAGGCTTTCGATCCTTCCGCTCCTAAGTGTGAAATATCTCCTATGATATAACAGTAGAAGAATACACCATTAGGTATTATAGGCAGTCTTGTTTTTTTTTAAATTGTTTCCTTTGAATATTAAATTCGTGTTAAAAATAAATAATGTTATTCCCGAATAAACAAACATTCTGTTCGACAACTTATTCATTTTACTATTAAAATTTTGCTAGTGGTACATAGCTTAATAATTATCGTGGGTGATTGGTGGGTGCTCTGGTGTAGTTTGCTCCTTTTTTCTATCAAACATCTATCGTCCTTATCTGTTTTCCTTTTATTTTTTGACACCTCTTATCTTCCGCAGTTATATGACCTTATTATTGTGTTGCAAATGCCATAAAACGCGTATTAAAGCTAAATACATGTGACGTGCCTTGTTGGAGGGCGTTCCTACTGTCCTCCTCCTCCTCTTTCTCCTCCTCCTCCTCCTCCTCCTCCTCCTCCTCCT